AACTTTTATACCTTTTGAAAAACAAAGAAACAATGACTTGTGAAGAACTGACAGAGGGGCTTGGGGTTGGGGTAGCAAATTAATGAAGAAGTGACAAAGCGGTGTATACAGGCTTCTCAGTCCTGAGTTCCCCTTTTGGGTGATGAGGGTCCTTTTACCCTCCGGGTGCAGGGAGGGTCCCCTTCACATAGGGAATTTATTTCCTGCTTTCAGGGGGACCAAAGAGTGTCCTTCTTGTAATGGCTATTTCTTAAATAATTTTAATTCAACATAATCCATATGCCAAGGTGGCATATTTTCCTCCCCTTCAGACCCACCTTTGAAACTGCAAGAAGATCATAATCCAGAAGCTAAGTTGGTAGATTGTTTTACGATTTCATTGAATTAATCTCTAAGTCTTGAAAATAGCTCAGTTCAGTTAAACAATTGTGTCTCGTTTTAGGAGGTGTTGATGTAACTGGGCTCCCCACATTAGGCCTATACTGTGCGAGAAATTAGGTGTTGAATAAGGCATTTCTATGGAAACAAACAAACAAAAAACCCCAAAGGTTAATGATTAGAACAAATTATAAACCAGCTTCTGAGGCCAGGGGCAGCCAGTCAAGAAAATTTCTAGAAGTCAGTGTCAAAGCATCTTTTGCAGTCGGAATGTCTCTGATAACATCACCAGGTATTCAGGTGAACTTTCTGAGTGGCATACACTGCAGCAGGCATGAAGACTGCCTACACATGAGTTATCGTGGCCATTTCTCTTAAGTTTATATCAAGTTGGTCACCTTCAGTTTGCCAGGCTTGGGGGAAAGGGCAGTTTTTGTTCTTCACGATTCCAAGTCAAAAGTGGGAGAAAATTGGAAAGGTTTGTTTTGACAGCTATAGCCAAATATTGGAGGAAACTAGAATTCAGGATCCAGTGGATCTTTCCATCTTACAGGTGGAAAACAAAAACCTCAAACTAATTAACAGCTCTAGAATCTGATATTTCTATAGTGTATTACTGAAACATAATTTTTCGGTCTATCAAAGATAATCACGATAAGACTAATTTGTTTGCAAATTAAGTCTAGTTTCAATACATTTGGCCCATTTATGTAAGTATAGCAAGAATAACAATTGATGAGATAGGCTCTTCTAAATCTGCTTTGCTGAAATTTTTCATAAGGAATCTCAGATGGAACTCTTAAAAGCTTCTCAAGGCTAGGAAGCCAAGCCAGGGACTTGCCATCAGACTTCACCTGCAATACCTATAAATCTGGGTGAATTCCTCTCTTCTCAAGGTCCCCAAAATATCCTGAGGTTCCTGAGTCTGCCAGGAAGTGACCTTCCTCACTCACCTAGTAAGGTTGCAAGGAACCCTGTAAGCAAGGTACTAGAACTCCTTTTCCAAGGGGCTTTGTTGTTTATTGGCTCTATAAAGTCAACCTTAGTTTCTTAAACTTGTCTGGTCATATCTGAGTCTATGTATAGCTCTCATATATGACATTCCAGTCAAAGCCTCAGTAATGTAACCAATGTTTCCACTCATGCTCATTATAAGAATAGATTCTTATTGAACTTATGCAAATAACTGTATTTCCAAAAAAATAAGAATACTCACTAACAGTTTTTAAATTATGGAGGCATGAGGTAGGGAGAAAAAGTAATTATTTCAATTCTGCTTATAAAGGAATAATAAAACAAATTGCTGTAAATCACAGATAACTTAAGAGAAAAGAGAAGTTTTCCCAAAATCTGGAAAAACCAAACATTAAAAAAAACAACAGCAATGTCCAAACAAAAAAGTCATAAATTATGATCATCTTCCTCAGTTGATTCAGTCCCACGTAATTAATATTTGTTCTGTTTGAATCCAGTTTTTCTGTTAGTTCTGGAAATTCTTACCCAGATCAGTTGGATGCTGTTAAAGTTATCTACAGTACTTGTTAGAGTCCATTCATGAATTCTCTTGAAGATGAAGCACTTTTGCAGGAAAACTTTTACAAAAGCATCCAAGTGAAACAATAACTGTCGGTAAATGATAAAAGACTTAAAAATGGCCATAAAGATCTGATAGAGTTCATTACAATGCAATTGACAAGAAAATCTGATTATACCTGAGACATACAACATTTTAAGATAATAACTAGGATTAGAGTGATAACATTATCCTGGACATCTGATTTCTAGGAATTTCATATAATTTCTGAAACACTTGGATACCTGTACAAATACAACATAAAGAAAGCTTGATATTTCTTATTTGACAACACTTCCCATGTAATTTAGCGTATCACATAAACCAATTCATTTAGCATCTCTCTTTTATAAAGAAAGAAAACAAATCTTTTGAGATATTTCAGGGACCCCCTGGAAAATTCCAACTTACTTTCCTGGTCAAAAAAGTTTATTTAGAAATTGATTTTGAAAAGTTTGTCAAAAATATCAAAAGATTGGGACATTTGACTAAATAGGATCACAGATAATTTGAAATAATAATTATCTATTTAACCAAGTGACAAAAGATTTTAAAGGCAAATACAAAAGGTTACATCGTTTTAAGGAAAATTCAGCTCTTAATGTTAAGACTCAGTTAAGTAATCAAAGATCTGATAAAGACAACATGAAGTACGGGAAATTAGTACAACATAACATCTTTGCTTTCCAGGCAGATTACTTAAAAGGTAAAGAAAACCATTCATTATATCTTATCAAGAGCAGACTGAAAGTCCAAGAAAACTTTGTTCTTTTAGCAAATGAAAGAAAATTACATTAGCAAGCTACTAAAACAAAAAAGCAAGTTTATTATTTTTTAAAACCCTTATAACAATTCAATTTTTAGCCAACGTGACTACAAAAGGTAAAATTTTCTTTTTTCTTTCTTTTTCTTTCTTTCTCAAAAGTTTTTTCCTTCCTTCCTTCCTTCCTTCCTGTCTCTTTTTCTTTTCCCAAACTTCTATGTCCTTAGTTTGTCCTTTATTTTTCTCTTTTCCATTCTGTAATGACCATTCTGAAATACCAGCTTTACTTTAGGACAAAATTTACTTTCTTTTCCCTTAGCTAAAATACATCTCCATACCTCATACCTTTTCTTAGCTAAAAACATATCCTAGTTTCCTTGCAATACAGAGTTGTTCTTATTATTTCTAGTAGCTTTAATTTACATATATTAGAACCTTCCTATAGCGGCATTCACAGGGTGGTTCTCAACCTCTAAGGTTATCAGAAGCACCTGGGGAGCTGTGAAAACACAGATTGCTGGGCCCCACGCCCAGTTTCTGATTCAACAGGTCTCAATGGACCTTAAGAATTTGCATCTCTAACAAGTCCCCAGGTGATGCTAATGTTGCTGGTCCAGGGAGCCCACTGAGAATCAGTCTCTATTACTTGGTTACATGCTTTTCTCTTCCACTGACTGTGAGCTTCTTCTTATATATCTCATCTCCAGGGCCTAGCCTGTGTCCAGCAGTCATTCAATCAATCAACAAATAACTTATTGAATGCCTATTATGTGCCAGACACTATCATAGGCACTGGATTCATCAGCTTAAAATATTTATATATTTTTATATATATATAAAATTTATATACATATAACTTATATGTATATATGTATGTACATATGAATGTGTGCATGTATATATATATATATATATGTATGTGTGTGTGTGTGTGTATTCCTGCCCTCATAGAGCTTTCCTCTGGTACTACACAGGAATTTCTCAATAAATGTTGAAAACTGATCAGTTGTAAAGAAGGAAATATGGCATTATCACGAAAATTTTCATAGTGCTTGGAAATATCAATTTTCCCATTTCCCAATCCTAGTTTTCCCCATTTTATGTTTCCTCCTTCTGATATCACCCATTTATGGATATAAATCCATAAACCTGACAGTATACCAGGCTTTGGGGTCTTAAGAAATATTTGCCAATTGATTTATAAAATATTTGATGTGGATGACATATCAGTTAAAAAAACAATTCTAACATGAATTTAAACTTGTATAAATTATATATGGAAGCAACTGGGAGGATGTAAGCAAATCTCAGTATTTTCATATTGATAAATATTTTAGAATACTTAACTACTAGTTTTCGAATTAGCCTTAGTTATCTGTAAGGTATCTTTCCTCCCCTCTCAATATTTATGGCAGTTCTCAACTGCCTGGTATGAGGACTTTGAACTCCCAGTGGACCTAAGTGGACTGCTGTACAAACAGGGACATCAGCCAACATTTGGATTGTCCTGTGAACAATTCTGAGAAACTGGCAGGGGGCCTTGTGAGGCCATGTGGTGCTGTGGAAGGGTTGGGAATAACAGCAGAGGCAAATCTGATTATCTCTACATCACCAAGGCAGGTGCTCCACAGGATGTCCCACCCAGGCCTGCGGGACATGGGCTATGCATTCCCTCCCTAACTCTAGGAAAGTGCAAAGCACGTGCCTTCCTTCATCTTTGGACTAATTCTCTGAAAGTTTCTCTGGAAATAAAAACGAGAGGTCTCACAAATAGCAATTTGGAATGTAAAGGAATTGATCATAATGTTTACTTGAGATTTTCAGTATTCTTAAGGTTTACGAATATTTTTAAAGATCTTCCAAGCCGCGAGACACTCTGTTAACTGTACGAAGGGAAAATGGGCAGCATTTATAAACGGAATTTGACAAAGGGTAGTTTCAATATTCCAGACTAAAATATTTCCTCACTGTTAACATCATAAGCAAATTTGGTGTTGTTAGTGATTTCAAGAGTCAGTGATATCAAATAGCAATACTGCCTCAGAATAATATGCTCTTTCTACTGCTACCCCAAATCAGTGATTTAACACCCTAGTCCAACAAATCACTGTTAGTTCTATATATCGAAAGATTTTTTAACAAATTAATAATGCTGTTAGGAATATACTTTTATAATGGGGATCAGGTATGCCACCTTCATTTTTTATGATTCAATCCTAATTAAATTCTGATTATTAAAAAGCTTTAGACGTAAATGTGAGCTTTTGGTGAGCCATATACTGACTGAAAAATGGCCAGGTTATCATTTATTTCTCTGCAACAGTTTACTAATTATCACCTTCATAATCTGAAGGAATTAATATTTTTTAAAAGGTGTATAAGTTTCTGCTGAGATGTGACCTCCAGTGAACCAAACCCTTTCAAAAAACTGGCTAATATAAAGATAAGACAGGGAGAAATTAACCTCTACAGGTGATCAAATTTGTCTCATTAAATCATTGCTACCTCATTTAATGTAATAAAAGAACACACCACCATATTCCGGAAGACACACAAATCTAAACTAAAAATATTCTCATTAACATCATCCATATGGTAGTAATAACTTATCTTCCTTACAATTTTTCTCAGTTATTCACAAAATCCACCCTTATTTTCTGAGTTAACAAGGCTGAATTTTAAAAGTGCAATCCAAATTCTCGAGGCCTCACTCCAGTTTAGACAGGACTTCTTAGTGGTTTCCAAGACACAGCTTTTTGTTTTGGTGCTGTTCTTCACCCGAAGGTAAGGGTCTCAACACACCATCTAGTGTTCAAGAATAACTTAATATTAGGAAAACTTCACTTCAAACACATGGGTATTAAAGTCATAGCGGTTGTAAGATCAAAATAATGTTTAAGTTAAAAAGGAACATTCATTATATTTTATCTTCAAATTCTCAACTGTTGAAGAACAGATTCTAGATAACCCTGGCTATCTAGAATAGTGTCTGCCTATTAAAAAGTGGATTCACTCAACTCTGAAATCTATACTTTAAAAGGGCAAATTAATGATCTATGAATTCTATCACAACAAAGCTGTTACAAAATTGAAAAAGAGATAGGAAGATTTTTTGTTGATATAAAACATTTGTTCAAAAATATATACAAAACATGACCTTGCAGTTCAGTGAACAGTCACAGAGCAAACCTACATTTGACCATCACCCAGGTCAATAACTAAAACATTGCCAGCAAAGCAAAAGCCTTCCTCTTGCCCTCCCCTTTCACAACGTCTCCTTCCCGTCTCAGGACTGCTAAGGGCAGCATGTCTTCCTTCCTTAGTGACCGAGGAACAATAAGCCCTGGATACGCATCCTTTATTGATTGTAAGTGGCAAGTATCTCCTAGTCTACGGCTCGCCTTTGTACTCTTTCAATGATATCTTTTGATGACCAGATGTTCTTAATTTTAACATAGATAAATTAATTCATCCCTGTATGGTTAGTGCTCATTGTGTCCTTTCCCTAGCAGCAGGGAATTATTAATTGACCCCCTCAAACACTGTTACTGAAAGCACATTCTTTAATCAGATCCATATATATTTTTCTTTCTATTTTTTCACTTTTTTTCCCTGATTAATTTTTTCAAAAGATGGAGGAGGTAGGTATTTACTTTTTTTCCAGATGGCAAATAAAAAAACATACTACTTGAATAAATAAAGCTAAATTCAGAACACAAAAAAATCAAGGTATCTATATGGAAACTCTAGAATAGAAATTATTTTCGTAAAGACCTCTTCATTTCCTGATTTTTCAGGGTAATCAAATCATTGTTACCAAAACTTTTTACTTATTATACTAAACTTCCATTTACCTAGAATCCTCACAGATAGATAACACAGCTTATATTTAAATATAATACTGTGGGGGTGCCTGGGTGGCATAGTCGGTTGAGCCACAGGTTTCTGTTCAAGTCATGATCGCAGGGTCATGAGACTGAGCCCCATGCAGGGCTCTGCACTCAGCACAGAGTCTGCGTAAGACTCTCTCTCCTTCTCTCTCTTCCCCCCCTCCCCCCCTGCTTCCCCTCCCTCTCCTTCTGCCCTCTCGCTCTGGCCCACCCCCCCCACCCCGCCTCTGTGCTCTCTCTCAAATAAATAAATAAATCTTTAAAGATAATACTGTATAGCAATAACTAATGTTCAAAATTATATACCTAAGGAATTGCAAGATCTCCCCAAGATGACATTACATTAAAAATATCTGTTAATATTCAAATAATAAAGCTTTGAAGACTAGTAATTCATTTATGGTAGCCATAATGACTTTAGTTAGATTATTCAAATAACCCGAGGATTTCCATTCTCTGACCCTACAAATCTCTACAAATATGGCTTTACACAAATAAAACATCCTCTAATTTGGCCCTATAGCCATCTGTATTAATTATATACATTTTTCCTTTCTAACCGTCCGACAAGTTTTAGTTTGGTATAGAAGAGCACTGTTGTTTACTGTTTCATATACATTTAATTTATATATTCAATGTGTACATGATCATTTGTATTAAACTGCAGATTCTATAGGACTGATTATAAACCAGCACTTTCCATAGAACCTAGCATATAGTAGATACACAAATGTTTGTGAACAAATTGAATGGCAAAAATCTAACCTGCGAAAAGAACATGCTTATCTACGACCACAACAACTTCCAACACCTGATCATTAAAACTCGCTATGTATCCTTTCTTCTCAACAACAAAGTTAAGCTTAATAAAAGACTTTTAAATACTTACTCTCTTTGCTTTCAGGCTCATTATGTTCATGAACACAAGTTCCTGATGGATTCAGCTGCCACTGTAAAAGGGCACAAACCTTTTATATGTATGTTTAAGAAGGATTTAATAAATAGCATCTTAGCACCCTGCTGTCAAATATTAAAACTTTTTTTTTTTAATGTAAAGAATAAAGAGTTAGCATGTTCATACCAACCAAGCCCTAATAATGACCCTGAATGATATGACTTCTGGGATCAGAATCAATATTCTTAGAGAAGGAAGGAACTTTAAAATCCTTTACCTTCATTTTAGAGGTAAGGACGTGGAAGACCAGCGAAGTATAGTGACTTGCCCAGGGTTACACACTGAGGGCATCAATAGAATTAAAACCTGAGTCAGCCTGTGCTCAACACTATAGGATTTCCACCATTCCACATTCCATCTCCAGGTCCTACAGCATCTTATGATAGCTACAGAAGACCTAGATATTAAAGAATGAAAATATGACCCAGATTATCTTGCCTTTTAATATAGTCATATCACACCATAGATCATATATCTCCTCTGATTTCAGTTTTCCGCCTCAACTATTCAGAAGGAAATAGGGAAGCTTGAGGGTTCTCAGGGACTACCGAGAAGCCTGGAGCAGCTGAGAAGAAAAACTATGTGTAATCAGTACCTCAGGGCACAGCCCTTCCTTTCTCACTTGGCTGGAAGTCCCCATCATCAGAATAACTAATGACTTGACCGAAAAGGCCTCATTAGGCACGATCTCTAGAGAGGCGCAATTCAGTGTGCAGTACCTGGAGTCTCTTCCGCAAGCACCAGTGAGTTCAACAGATCAACTAGCTAATACCATGATCCCTGGGGGTGGAATGAGACACCAGACAAACATTTCGCCGTGTGTGAAAAAGTCTTAGGAAAGGCAGGACATCTAGAACCGTCTGGTCGCCTACAGAAATGTGGGCGCCAGGAAAAAGAGGATTTATCCGGGGTGGGGATTATGTATAAACTTAAAAAAAAAAAAGACATGTTTCAAAACATGTCAAACAACTAAAATCTATTAACTTGGGCAAAGTCAGAACTAATAACCCTGAATGTATATTTAAGGATAATCATAAAAAGACTATTTCTAACTGTAAGAGACTTAGAAGCCATTTTAGGGAACTCACAACAGGGGAATGGGTAAATAAGTTATATTTATATGTTAGAATATTGTTGAATCATTAAACATTATTTTTGAAGAACTATCAATGACACAGAAAATGTAGCAACATGTTAACATTAGTATCTATGAGTTATCAGAGAATATTTGTTCTTTTTTATGTTCCTAGTCCTCTACAATGAGCATATATTACTTTCATAATAAGAAAAAAGTAATACAACCTAATAGAGAAAAATCCACATGTATTAAACAGGAAAAAAAAGTTTCTGAATAAATGGACATGGGCCTACACTGGTAAAATCTACTCTTGAAAATACTGTTGCTCAGCCCTAACCTAGTCTGCAACAATCCCACAGAACAGAACCAACTATCTCAAGGTATGTGGTAACACCTCAAAGAGAAAAGCAAAACTTTTCAAACAAAATTAATTTCAATTTGCTTTAATCTTAAAAATATCAGTTTTGGGGGGCGCCTGGGTGGCTCGGTCGGTTAAGTGTCTGCCTTCAGCTCAGGTCACGATCCCAGGGGCCTGGGATCGAGCCCTGCATCAGGCTCCCTGCTCAGCGGGGAGCCTGCTTCTCTCCTCTGCCTGCCGCTTCCCCTGCTTGTGTTCTCTCTCTCTGACAAATAAATAAATAAAATATTAAAAAAATATCATTTTTTGGACACTCCTACACTACTCTTGACAATCTAAAAATAAGTATAATCATTACTGACATTCAAATTTAGAATGAATATTAGTTCATGTTAGTCACTGGTATTTACAAAACTAGGCATTTAGCGAAGCAGGTAGTTGAAATCATTTACATAATATTGCAAACCAAACCAGAGTAGGGAAAGGATGGGAAGGTGGAGAGAGCTGTCACTGGAAGGAGCCCTGAGAAGAACCATGTGCACCTGAGAAGGGTACTCCTGGCAGGTCTTGGCTCGTCTCTGCCCAGGGGACTCATTCCCTCTGTTTCTGTCACTGTATCTTCCTTCCTTCCGATCTCTTCATGCTCTTTACAGTGGCAAAGCTACTCAAATCCACCAGTAAGCAACATATTTCAGAATTCACTTAATCTGTCAGTCACAGTCCTGAAGAGCTAGATCATTTAATCTTTATGGAGAGAATGTGAAACACCTATTTCTTCCCACTTCTCAGGAGGAATGAAGACACAGAAAACAGAAACACAGAACTGGAGATTTCCCTTTGACTAGCTGGATGTAAGCTTCTGTTTACTTTTACAAAAGCGGCACCTCTCCCATCTCTCCTTTCTTTCAGGGCCCTCTTTTTCTTTTAAAAATCATGATAAACTTTAGGGGCGCCTGGGTGGCTCAGTCGTTAAGCATCTGCCTTCGGCTCAGGTCATGATCCCAGGGTCCTGGGATTGAGCCCCACATCGGGCTCCCTGCTCAGCGGGAAGCCTGCTCTCCCTCTCCCACTCCCCCTGCTTGTGCTCCCTCTTTCGCTGTGTCTCTCTCTGTCAAATAAATAAATAAAATCTTTAAAAAAAAAATAGGGCGCCTGGGTGGCTCAGTTGGTTGTGCGACTGCCTACGGCTCAGGTCATGATCCTGGAGTCCCGGGATCGAGTCCCGCATAGGGCTCCCTGCTCAGCGGGGAGTCTGCTTCTCCCTCTGGCCCTCCCCCCTCTCATGTGCTCTCTCTCTCTCTCTCATTCTCACTCTCTCAAAATAAATAAAAATAAATCTTTAAAAAATAAATAAATAAAAATCATGATAAACTTTAAATAAAACTGGAAATAAAAAACCAAAAATCAATGACAAAAATAAAAAAAACAAAAATTTATGATACTTCACACACACACACAGAAACTAGACAATATGTTTTATAGTTTTAAACTTTTAAATATAAATTAAAAATATAAATATATAAGTGTATGTATACATATATATAGACAGTTTAAAAAATATCTTTTTGGGGGCGCCTGGGTGGCTCAGTTGGTTAAGCAACTGCCTTCGGCTCAGGTCATGATCCTGGAGTCCCGGGATCGAGTCGCACATCGGGCTCCCTGCTCAGCAGGGAGTCTGCTTCTCCCTCTAAACCTCTTCCCTCTCATGCTATCTTAAATAATAAATAAAAAATAATTTTAAAAAAATATCTTTTTGGTGCCTTATATGTTCCAGGCACTGTGGACTCAAAACAGGAATGTAGACTGGAAATTTTTTTTAAGATTTATTTATTTATTTTAGAGAGAGAGAGTGAGTTGGGGAGGAGGGACAGAGGGAGAAAATCTCAAGCGGACTCCCCTCTGATGGCAAAGTCCAACGTGGGGCTCAATCTCATGACCCTGAGATCATGACCTGAGCTGAAATCAAGAGTTGGTTGCTTAACCAACTGAGCCACCCAGGTACCCCAGTAAACTTGAAGTTTATAAACAGTTATATGCCTTTTATACCTACTGCAAGTTCTTGTATATAAGTGTTACATTAAATGCCAGAATTATTATTAAAAAGCAGCATATGATTCTGGGCAGGATCCTTTTGCTCTATAGAACATTGGGACAACTGGTGAACTTTGAAACCTGTGGATGAAACAGAGTAATGTATCAGTGATAATTTCCCGAGTTTTGTTGTTGTATTATGGTTTTGTAGGAAAATCTACTGTTTGAGGAAATATATAACAAACTATTTGAGAGTGATCTGGTTATGGTGTCAACAAGCTACTCTCAAAGGTTTCTGGGGAAAAAAAAGTTCTTTGTAGCATTTTTGTAACTTTTCTGTATGTTTGCAATTGTTTCTAAAAAGAAGGTTTTTTTTAAAAACCTACATAGTGAAATAAAGTTCTAAGTTTCCCATGAACTATCTTAGTACTTTTTTTTAAATATCAAATATTAAATCCCTTCTTTCTCTGATTTTTTTCCATGAGAGATGTGTGTCATGAGTGCCCGCGTGTGTGTGTGTCCCTGTCTTTTGGGTAATCCTAAACTATTTTCACCTCTATTTACCACCCGAGAACCAGAAGAGCGAGGGAAGAGGTAGGTCAAGGATTTTCTTTTGTTAGCCACCAGAGGGCACCAAAGGGACGATTAATTCAAGATCTCTAAGGTCCAGAATACGCAATCTAGAGACATATAAATTCATTAAGACAGAGATTTTAAGCTGAACATTTGTAATCAGGTGAGTGCTTGCACATAAAAACAAACTCAGTGATAATAGTTTAAAGTGTGGGAATCACTAATTTAAAATATTCAGCAGGATACCTAACAATATAATAGAAAATATACTTGAATAAAATGTGTATCTACTTACCGTAAATTTGCTAACACCCTCAAGTTCCCCAAATCTCATGTAAGAGATGTCTGCCTTCTTTTTTCCAACATCTACATCCCCGGCATAGATCTGTTTTATGCCTGCACCTTTAATTAAAGGTACACACTCATCACATGGGCACTTTGTGACAAAAATCATAGTTCTTTCTTCTGGTTTTATTTCTTGACACCTACAAAAAATTTATAAATATTAGAAAGGTAGCTTCCAAAAGGGGAGTTATATTTTAGAGAAATCCTTAAACACTAAAATTGAGCTGATTTTAAAACAGATTTACATTATAAACAATAATAAACTTTATTCTTGCTGAATTAGTGAATATACAAAATATATAAACTCATAAGATGTTAATATACAATCTGAACATGACAATTATTATAATTAAAATTCATTTATTTATTCTAAGCAATCAGTAAGATGTTCAGTATTATATTATAAATAAAAACGGGAACAGACAGACACTGAAAGAGAGAGGGAGGGAAGGAGAGCAAGAACAATGCTCTCTACATGAAGAACTTTATAATGCCACAGTTAGGGGCTAGAACGAACATCTTCCTTATGCATTGACATTAGTTCATCACAGGAGCCAAAAGATCTGACCCTCATCTAGTGCCTACTGGATATTTAATAAATGCTTGTTAAATTGATAAATCAATAATAAAATTCTGCTTTGAGTTACAGTTCCTTTAGCTCCTCCCTGAGATAGGATACTTTAACAAATATTTGCCTCCATACAAATGAAGCGAGTAAATCTGTAATGAAGAGCACAAGGACAAGAGCAGAGGAATCATTTGCTGGGGTAGTTTAGGACTAAGGAATGGCTCTCATCTGAGGCTACAGGGGTTGCATTTGCTGGTTCTGTGGTTTCCACTGCTCTCAGCCAGCTGTCTTACACCACCTCCAGCCTTCCAGATCCATCTCCCTAGTTCAGACTCATTCTGTTTGCCTAGACCCGGGCAACAGAATTTTATGCATCTGGTCTATTTGAACAATATACCTGCAACCTAAGTGATCAGTAGGGTGGCCATCTCCCTACGGCCTATCAAATGGAGTATAAACCCCAAGTCCTCCCCTGTCCAGCCCCAGCCTACTCGCATGTGCTCCATGGTCCAGACTAACTGGAACACTCATGTTCCTAAACACACAAGCATTTTCCTCCTTCAAGATGGTCTTGAAGCATCTGGTGCTATCTGACGCAAGAATGGCTTCCCTTCAAGTAAGCAACTCCAATTGCCACAATCCCGCCAGGCCTTCAAACCTCAGCTCAAATGCCAGTTTCTCCTTATAGCTTTCCCCTCTCACTGCCCCTCCGTCGGCAGCAGCCCTTGCATTCCCACAGGACTCTGTGTTGGCCTTGCCCAGAGAACCCATCCTCTTAGCTTGAATGCAGCCTTACACTGAGGAGTACTATAAGCTCCTCAAGGACAAAAGCCATGTCTAGCTCAGTGTGAATCCCCTAAGATCACTCCTTTGATAGTAAATGCTGAGAAACGTTTGCGGAAATGATCTAGAGTAACATCAGAAGGGAGGTAGTAATGCCAGTTATAATCTCCAACAAAAACCACTTTAAAGCAATTTGGTTCATAATAAAATCTATATATTCATAGATACATGTGCTCTAGATTTAGAAAATAGAGGACATCTCACAAGATGTCGTTACAAGACCCTAATGACAAACTTCAAGCAATTTTATATTGGAGACAAGGAAGACAAGAAAAAAAATAGGCTCGCTCAGCAAATTTGAAGGCCTGGAGGACATCTGACAATGGCCTCAGGTCTGGCAGCAAACTCCAGGTATAACCAAAATTATACTTCTGAAAAGAATATTTCTTAGAATTTAAAAAAAAGGAAATAAATTATGGTAAAAGAAAACTAATTTCAACTAACCCTTGCTACATTTTTTTTTTTAAAGCCTTGCTACGTTTTCAAGAAAGGACACGCAAACGAATTTCATACCTAAATGTCAAGGCATTCTGCTCCGCATGTACAATGTATCTGAATTTCCTTATTTCTCTGTCTTTCTGCTTGTCATCCATGTGTGGGAAGTCAGCATACTCAGATCCGACAGGAAAAGCATTATAACCGCATCCTATGAAGTACATCGCGCCTGTTCCATCACAACTTCTCTGTGATAGTGAGCAAACCAACAAAGGTGAGTTGTCAACATTCTAAAAAAAGGCACCTGGCAGTGTACTTTAAAGCCTCGTATCATACTGTATATAACTAATTCCACTTTCTATGACCAAAAAAAACCACAATCTTACATCTTCCTACTGCAGTATGGTCTTGTCAAAGCTAAATTCCAAGAAGGCTGATCATTTCTAATACATAATCTCAAGGCAGTCCTTGGTTTTGGCTGTTAATTAAACATTAACTTGTTTAATTCACAAATTACTTCACTTGATTCAGACATCTCTCCCCAAATAGGTTATAAGATCCTAGAGAACAGAAACACGTTTTATGTCTCTTTTCTATGCCTTAAAGTACACCTGTTAGAGTGTCCCATACATAACAGGTCCTCAATAAATAATTGTCAATTTTGTATATGCTGTTTTCTACTGGTTAACAAGTCAGAAATTGTAAAAATATTTTGAACATCAAAAACTAATGATGTAATGTATGGTGATTGACATAACATAATAAAAAATATTTTGAACAGACAATTTCTACTATTGAACTAAAAATATGCTATTGTGATACAGTTGAAAGATAAAAAATGTGCTTTCCTTTTTAAAATTTTTTAAAAGAATTTTACTTATTTGTTTGAGAGAGACAGAGCAAGAATGAGAGAGAGAGAGAGAGAGAACACAAGCAGGGGGAGGGGCAATGGGAGAGGGAGGAAACAGATTCCCCACTGAGCAAGGAGACAGACTCTGGCCTAGATCCCAGGACCCTGGGATCATGACCCGAGCTGACACCCAACTGACTGAGCCACCCAGGTGCCCCTCCACAAAATGTACTTTCCTTTAATCTTCATATTTATTGAGCCTCTATTGTACATTTATATATATATTATATGCATATAATATATATATATTTATAATGCAACTTTTTACTTAAGTGGCTCTTTTTTAAGTCTCATAGTCAATGGCATATTACATATAATATGAATGCTTTCTCAGTTACTAGAGTGAACTATTTTATAAATCATAAGTGTTTATAGTAATTTGGAATATGCTGTAAACCTCAGTAAATTTCAATATATTATATCTATTCATGTGATAGTTTCAAAAGACTCATTAGTATGGCAACTCGATAAAAATCATTGTTATGATGAGTCAACAAAAGCTTACAAATAAAATGTTACCTCACTGGTAATAATAATAAATTATTCTTGAGTATTTACTACATGTCAAACATCATGCTGAGTTTTATATGTATTATTTCATTTAATCACTCCTCACAACGACCTTGACAGTAGTACTATTAGTTTTTCCATTTTACAGATAAGGAAACTGAGGCCCAGAAAGATTAAAATTATCTAGGGTCACAATGCTAGCAACATAGCCAGAATTCGAGCCCAGGTTGCTGGACTCCAAACCCACGTCTTTCTACTTTACCATGCTGCCCACTATAGTTATAGCCTGACTGGAAACTTAAGTTCTTACAAGCACTTGAGAACCAGATGTTAAGTCAAAGGCTGCTGCTGGGCATTCATATAAACACAAATGAGAGTTCCAACCATAGGCCAGGCACTGTGCTAGGTGCCAGGAATATAGCTATAAATAAAACAGAGAATCCTTGCCCTCATGAACCTTACAATCTGGAGCTAAGAAATTGTGCATATAATTTCAACTCTGATGAGTGCCACAAAAAAGTTGCACAGAATGCTATGGGAGTTTTTGGTGGAGGAACTTAATTCTGGTAGGTAGTAATAGTTGGGGTAGAGATAAGTAGAGTCAGATCTTTTGAAGGTGGAATTCACAGCACTTGGTGGTTGATTATATGTGTGTAGTAACAGGGAACGGGATGGTGACCACTGATGAAGGAATAGGTTAGCAGGGAAGATACTAGTTTGTTGGCCAGGTTGAATTTGAGGGGCTATGATACATCCAGGAAAATAGTCAAATTACTTGCTATAAAGTCTGGTGAGGCAAAACCTAGGCTCCCTACTCATCTTTGAGTCAGCCTTACAGTTACTAAGTGTCTCTTGATTCCATGCCCTTCCAACCCACCCCCACAACTCCAATCCTCATCACCTCCTTTTTATTAACTCCCTATTTGCTGTGTAGCCCCACTTCATTCCCTTTATAATGTAAATCTGGTCAAATCATTTTCCCACTTAAAATATTCTTGGATTGTACTGTCCAATACAGTAGCCACTAGCCACTTGTGGTTATTCTGAATTGAGAGGTGCTGTAAGTGTAAACTACACACAGGATTATGGAGAGTTAATAATCCCCCAAAACGCAGAATATTTTATTAATAGCTTTCATATTGATTACATGTTCAAATAATATTTCTGGACATTTGATTAAATAAAATTATTCTTAAAATTAATTCACCTGTTCCTTTTTATTTTTTTAATGTGGCTCCTAGAAAATTTACAATTATGTGTGTGACTTGCCTTTTATTTCTACTGGTTAGCACTAGAGTATCCCACTGTTGAAAAGATAAAGTTCAGACTCTTTACATGGTATACAGATTTCTTCACGGCCCAGTCTAATTTTTTGCTACTCTACTATAGAGTACAGTACGTAGAGTAGAGTACATACTATACACCAAATCACTTGAATTTTCCCACATTCTCTCTCATACCCTCTACCTCTGCATATTGTCATACCAGTCATGCTAGTTTACTCTGCCTGATGCCTTCCTATGCATTCTTCAAGACTAATACATAGCACCTTACCTCCTCCAAGAATATTTTATTCATTTCTCCAAGCAGCATAGAGATTCTTCCTCCATGCTCTCCCAATGTCATTTTACAATTATCGTTATATGCTAGTCTCTTTTTTGTTCCACGGTCTCCATTAAGAGACTAAGGCCAGCAAGGGCAGAAAATGTGGACTTTAACTCCCACTGTCCACTGTGACACAGTGCCTACCCTGTGGAAGATGTTTAATAAATGTTTGCTAAATGAATGAATCTATCTAGACAATTGTTGAGGGAATGCTCAAATGTTTATAAAATTTAGTAAATGCACCAATACAAAATATTAACCCCATGGGTCAAAAAAATGTAATGCACTTAAGATCAAACTATGTTTAAACAAAATCAAGATTAAACATTTAGAGAATTGTTTTCAGGGGTGCTTGGCTGCCTCAGTCAGAACAGCACACAACTCTCAATCTTTGGGTCATGAGTTCGAGCCCCACATTGGGTGTAGAGATTTCTTAAGCAAATGAAAACTTAAAAAAAAATAAAGAATTCTTTTCATACTTACAGATTTTCCTTCTGCCCAAATGACTGCTCCAACTCCAGTTTTATGATCCTCTGAAAGATAAATGTCACTTAACTCAGTAAAGATCAATAATTTGTTAGTTTCAGAAATACACTTCCAAAAATAATACATATTATTGAAACATAATTCATAATGTGGCAACAATCCTTGACATCTTAACTAATTATAGAAATAAATACATTTTATTACTAATTTATTTAGTAAAAATTTACCACTAAAATAAATATTTTAAGCATGGAATATGGAACTAGGTGCTAAATAACTAGGCAGTGTCACTATCGACCCAGTCACACATGATCTATATGCAGAGCTCATTAAAATGGCAGTACCCACAGTCAGATCACTTCAAAGCTGTAACTAGAACAGAGTGTAATTTTATAGATTCTCCACTAAGTCAGCTTCTAAAACATTATTGCTAACAGATGATGAAACTGATTTAAAAAGAAGTTTCCGAACTAATGAATTTAATGTTACAATAATTCACAACACTCAAATCTGTCTTCTACCATTTTTTTAACAGTATAATCATGGAAAACACATTTCGTGGAAATGTTCTTGCTAAGAAAAAAGTTCAAACTTATAATACAAAAAACAAGTTTTTATGGGCTTTCATATATATATATATATATATATGAAAGTCCTTTCCCTGACCTTCAGAGTTTACCTGAAGGGGAAAAGCATGCCAACTTAGTGAATGATGCTCATTTCTGAATCAAGTGGCAGAAGTTATAAACATGAGATTATAATTTCCCTGCAGAACCAAAACCTCTGCATCAAATAAAGCTGTATTTCTTAAAACCATTAATCTGAAACAGAAAGCTTCAAAAAACCAAAATAGAAATTCTGCATATCAAGGATTGACTTTTTCTTTCTACTAATACAAGGGTAAGTTTCAAATTTCTAAGATAATTATACACTAATGAAAACTATGAAAACAGTATTTATCAAAATCTTAATAAGGGACTGATGTAGTTAATTAAGTAGGTACACTTACACAGAGACAGTACCAATCTGTGAACTTACTCTGGGGCATTTTCATATTGGTAGGGATTAAATGAAACTGTAGTTTCACCCTACAATTTCCTAAAAGTTAATCCCCCCCAAGGATAACTTTACCCTCCCTAGGCATTAAAAGCGAGTTTGCCTTATAAATAAGTTTTAGAAGTTATGATAACATAATGAAATCCTCCATCTTCAGTTCAAGTAAGCTCGAGTTTTCAAAATTGTATCACAAAGCATCTGTGTAATTTATTTGAAGCATTTTTTACCCCATCTCATTTTTACCCTAAAGGTAAAGCAGCTATTTCCTTTTCTAGATGAGAAAACAGGCAAAGAAATCAAGTTACTAAAATTTAGCCCTCCAGACGAAACCTACCCCTCCCTTTGATGTTAAGAATTTCGTAACAAAGATTTCCCTCTACTGAACGCGCAAGTAGACAGCAGTGAGGGAAGTCCCTGTATTCATGAAAGGTATAGCCCGATGTGGGAGGGAGACCGGAAGAAGCAAACACAGAAGCACCTGTGTGCTGTGCTATGCTAGGAAGGAAATGAGGAATGGAGGGTATGGGAAGGCTTCTTCTAGAGTGGAGATTCATGAAAGAGATTTTGGTGTAAACAAAATTTTGTTCCTTCCTTCAGATCACAATATGAAGGGAAAAGAATACAATTATGGCTTTACGCTCATTTCTAAGGCAAGTGGCAGGAGTTAGAAACATAAGATTATATTTGCCTGAAAAACCAAAACCTTTAAGTAAAATTATCCTTAATACATGTATAAACCTGAAACAAAAAAATGAGACTGAAATAGAAATTCTTCATATTAAGGGCCTATTTTTCCTACCATTGACACAAGTGTTTTTCATGTTACGTTTTTTTAGTCTCAGGAGCCACCTTTCCTGTTTCAGTCTGGGGACAGACTAAAACCTTGTCAGGAGGGGGAAAATGTAATTTTCCATCAGTATGTAGCCCTACTGCCTAGCTAAGTTTAGTTACACCAACAGAATATTCTTTACTCTGTCTTTTAAAATCAGAATAAAATTTCATCCATGTTAGATGGAGTAGATTTCACACAGCTCCAAGGCTGGATGACAGATGAGGTAATTTCTCAAGAATCTTTTCATGTCTGTAATTTTTACAGAAATTGCTCCCCCATGATCTGCTCATTCACAAGGTTTTCTCTGTATACCTTTGAAGGAAAGGTCAACTTATAATCACTGAGCCAAATTCCTGAGACTCTGATCACTGAAAGTCAGAGAACTCTTTATCCCATGGTTCTGGAACACAGGTGTGGTTATTTAGCTCCTGATTCTGTGGTCATTTGTCCGAGTGTGGTCCACAGCCCACTTCCTCAGAATCACTGGATGCTTGCTAAAAGGGAGGCCTCCGGGCTCCCATGGAAATCTCCTGAAGCAATCTTTCCAAAGGAGTCAGGCAGGGCCCAGGAACCCGCATTTTTCATGAGCATCCCTCTGATTCATAGGCATACTACAAGTTGGGAATCATCAAGTTATGATTTGAAACAGTTAACTTTTGTGGCTACTCCAACCTACATTCATCATCAATGTCGTGGTTTAGGAGGAAGGCATAATCCTCAGCTTTGGAAAACACGTAGCCTAAGGGAAAAAGAGGACCCCCAAAAAGATAAAAAATCACACTTGAACCAGATAGATAAGATGCAGTGCCCTCCTCTTTTTTCCCCTCTAGAGTCTAAATGAACATTGTCATTTTTTTGCTACCTCAAAATGTCCTTTAATGACATCTCAGTGGATCCAATTTATCATTCAAAAAGCAATTAATAAGCACCTACTTCTTAGTTACTTTTAGAATTCTGTTGTTAGAGGTTTTGGAATTCATTTTACTCATATGTATATTTTTAAATAAAATGGATTAATGAAATGGTGTCTTTACCTCTAGAGTGAAATAAAGTCTTCAAAGAAACTGAACAGCGTGAAATTAAAAGTCTGAGTTATTAGGAGCACACTCTATCATGGGGATATCTACCTTGCTGGATTATCCTCAGTGTTAAATGAGATAAATATATAAATTGCCTGGCTCTGTGCAAATGTTTTTTGGGACAGCCTGATGTACTTATTTTGTGGCCACACCTGACTAAATATTTAGTGCAAATACTCATACATTTTACTCCACATGTATGTGCTTGATGACAATGTACTGCCTCAGGCCCCCCCTGGAGTGCTGTGTAATATACAATATATGTAACCATATTACCTTTCTAAAATCTGACAAATTCTGGACTCCTTTTCATCTGGCTCCAAGAATTTTGGATAAGGGATTGTGGACCATCTACCTTTGGATGTAAAAAGATTTCCTTTATCCATTCAACACACTATGCTTAGTGCTAAGGAAAAAACAATGATGAACACATGGTTCTCTTCCCTGGAAGAGGGGACAGTGGAGCGGAGTGCATGCCAGAGAGTTGCATCCTATTCAAGATTTGGGTTCCAGGCAAAAAGTCATATACAATCAAAAAATTAACCTTGAAAAATCTTTTAAGTTACCCATCAAGTGCAGAAGCACACCTTTATGTACAAAACTCTGCACAGAAATAAAAAACATAGATGCATATTTGTATCTATACATTACCACATCTTTAAACACTGGAGTCATACATGGTATGATTCTCCTATGAGAAGCAGGAGGTACTGAGATCAAGTAAAAGAATAGCACATTCCTATCTCACTCTGGAATCAGTTGAATTCTTATTAGCAAAGGGGAATTAGTGAATTATAGCTGTAACAGCTATACCCATTTATGTTTCTGTCCTTCCAGAATGGTTTAGAGAAAAATTCTTTATAAAGCTGGTTTTGGCCAAAACACTAACGCCTAGCCCACGATACAACATAATGACATTAAATCAGACTTTTACATAATAGTTGTTTGGAGTCATAAATTTGCGCCTGTAGTAGAACCAAATTCTTTAATAAGAATTGAGTGATTATTAACCCTGCTGAACATCAGAATCCCTTGCAGAACTTTAAAAATACATTAGCTAGGCCACATCGTTATGGACTCAGTTCAGTAGGCCTGGGTTGGAATTTAAGCCTTTGTACTTTTAAGAAAAGTTTTAATGGTGATTCTGATATGCTGTCAGTTGAGAATCTCCATTCTGCTGAAAGTACTTTGATTGTGGTCTTTGATTAGAATGCAGACCAGTGGCATTTGTATGGACCTCTTCTTAAGATTTTCTTTCTTCTTCTTTCTTGGGAAAAGCTAAAAAAAAATCCTCCATTCACCAAATCTTACTCTACTGCTCCTCCTCCTCCATTTTCCCCCGTATTTCTAAGCTGCATTTAAAAAAGTGATCAAGATTCTACTTTGAAAAATCTTACCTCTGGTAAGGTGTGAAAACATTGTTCTATAATTGGAAATACAGATGTCATCTTTCAACACAAAAAAGAAAATTCCCAAGTAACATTCTCCTTTTTCACATATACCCTCATGCTCAATAAAGTAAAAACGTCTGATTTCTCAACTTGCTGATTAAAGACATACCAGCAATTGGAAGAATTTGTCAATGTTCCTTTACTTTAATGCTGTTATTTTGAATTCATATTTTCATTGTAAAGATTTTTAAAGTTTTTATGAAATACTGAATACATACAAAATATTGAAGAGTTAACTAAAAATTAATGATTTTGCTTCTCTCTCCTTTCTCTTTTTGTCCCATCTCTAGTGGAGGGCTCAGTGATCAACGAGATGACAAAAGCAGGAAGCAGAAGGGTCTAGATAATCAGGCCCTGATTTATAAATGTAGCACTGAATATAAGGCCACAGGAACCCAAATACTGCTCTAAGAGGTGTCTACTCAAGGATCTCACTAACTTCTACACATATAATGACCAGCAAAACTCTACTATCTAAGAGTAAATGAACTCTATGATAGATGAGATGAATACCATTTTACTTCTGAGACAAATACAACCCAGTCAGCCCCAATTTATGCACTAAGCATATAACTCACCAGTTCGATATGCCAATAACCTGGCCTGAACCATGCAGTGCCTTGCAATTTCTTGTGGCAAACTTTGATTGTGAATTTCATTAATCTGTTCGGTATTACCACAATAAAATCCGTAGTGCTTAAAGTTGGGCACACTGGAAGCTACTGTGGCCAAGAGTAGGATAAGGTCTTTCATGTTTTGCCTTAGATTGCTAAAGTACGGATTTTCACATAGGTTCTCCAAGCCTATAGTCATCAGTATTTGCTTATGCATTTCTTCATTTGAAACCAAAAATAACATTTCATATTCCTTTATTCTTTCTTGTTTACATTCAGAATAAAAGTCAACGTTAGCATCCGGCAATGTTTTTGCAATTTTTTGAATAAAGTCACATTTGTAAGAGGTCTCCTCTACAAACTGCACCATATAACACACCAAAGGCTGAAGTAACACACACACATGGGCCCGACTGTTTGACTTCAATCTTTCCACTGCTTTGGCATCTAACTTGGCATCTTCAGAACTAGAAGCCTCAGTAAGCAAACTTATTTCTGGATCAGCAGGCCAGTATGAAATTCGGTTAACTCCAGCTGAAATATAAAATATGAAAGGCAGTTATCAGACACATGTTGAAATTAAGGGTTTTCTTGATAAGTCCACCATATTATTGTGGTAGATCCAGAGGTCCCAGTCTGATAAATGTTTATTATGAAGTCAATTATAATATAGCCCAAGGGTTGGCAAACTATGGCCCACAGGCCAAATCTGTCCCATTGCCTGTTTTTTTTTTTTCCCCAGCTTGCAGGTTAAGAATGGATTTTATAGTTTTAAATAGTTGGAAAAATCAAAAGAATAGTATTTTGTGACACATGAAAATTTTATGAAATTCAAATTTCAGTGTCTATAAAGTTTTGCCGGAACACAGACTCACCCATTCATTGACACAGTCTCTGGTTGCTTTTGCACTACGATGGAGTAGCAGAGTTGAGTACCTGTACGCACACCATATGGCCTGCAAAGCCTGAAAGATCTGCTAACTAGCCCTTTATGGGAAAAGATGGCTGACCCCTAACAAAGCTCAAGGAAGATATTTGTGGAATCAAATCACGGGCATTGCTCAGTGTGGTCCCAAAGCCCAGTGCCAGGACTGGAATTCCCAGTACCGGAATCTTACAAGTAATCAAATGGCTGCTTTTAGAAATATCATGGCCGTCAACTGATATTGTTGAGAGTTTTGTATTTGAAATAAACAATTCATCCATGCAATAAAAATGTACCTATGCTCTGAATTCTTCCTCTGGGAAGCTACTCTAAAAAAAAAAAAAAAAAAAAAAAAATCCTAAATAGAAACAAACAAAAAAATCATGCATGCATATATCTAGTGCAGCACTGTCTAAAACAGTAAACACATAGGGGTGTCTGGGTAGCTCAGTTAAGTGTCTACCTTTGGCTCAGGTCATAATCCTGGGGTCCTGGGATTGAGCCCTCGTGTTGGGCTCCCTGCTCAGCAGGGAGTCTCCTTCTCCCTCTGCTCCTCCCCCCTGCTCGCCCCTCTCTTGCAAATAAATAAATAAATAAACAGTAAACATAGGAAAAAAACCTAAATGGCCAAAATAATGTGAGGGCAGCAGTTTATGTGTGTGTGTTGGGGGTGGGGAGCAATATCAATTTTTTTAAGCCCACAAAATTAAAGACAAAACAGTAAACTAGAATTTTCAATTAATGTGAGAGAAGGTTAGTAATCTTTAATATACAAAAAAGATTTTAATTCATTAACAACACATATGAATTGACAAGGTCTCAAGACAGACAAAACAATATGATCAGACAATTTGCAAAAGAGAAAACAAAACTAGATAACAAACAGATAAAAAAAATATTTTGTATTCGAGAGGGAACAATGAGATGCCTTATACAGGGTTAAGCACCCAAATGTTCATCAATTAATTAGTATTTTACAAAGAGACCCATTTGCTAGTATCTCATGCAGTTTCAGCTAGGAGACATTTTTATGATTGTGTCCAGAACGGAAAAGACAGATGGCCCACAGGGTGTCCTGCATTCAAAGTAACAGATGAATTAAAAAGTCTTAGTTGAATAAACCCACATTTCTATCTACTCTCTGCTCCTCCTGACTCTTACTGTAGCTTGGGTTATAAATCAGTTTTGAAGGCCTTAAAGCTAGTATCAGAATGTTTCCTCTGGCTGCATTTCACCTTCCCTCTGTTGGAGTTCTCACAATCCATTTCCTACTCACTGGTGATAGTCCATCTTTCATCTAAGCATCTGGCTTGCTTCTAGCAATCCTGATTTAAGGAGAAGAGGGGATGACTAGTCTTGGAACAAATGTTCATGTAGCAGTGGCAAATGCTACAGCAGGCGTTTTCAAATTTTTTGGTTTCAGACTCTGTTACACTCTTAAAAATTCATGAGAACCCCAAAGATCTCTGTTTATGTAGATTATACCTACTGATATTTACTGTATTAGGAACTTAAAACAAATTTCAAAAAATATTTATTAATTAAAAATAACAACAAGCTACTATACATTAATACAAATAACATGGTTTAATAAAAAATAACTGTATTTTCCAAAACAGCAATGAAAACTAGTTGAAAAGAATGGCACTGTTTTAAATGTTTACAAATCTCTTTATTATCTGGCTTAATAGAAGACAGCTGGATTCTCAAATCTGCTCCTGCTTTCAGTCTGTTGTGATACGTTGTTTTTACTGAAGTATATGAAAAGTATCCAGCCTCACACACATGTATGGTTAAAAAAGGAGTATTTTACCAGACATTTTAGATAACTGAATATTTTTCTTTGACACTACGTAAAAATTTGACAAGGGATAATTTCTTAAAAGTTAGTTACAATGTGGAATCTGAAATATATCAACAAACTTTTTGTATAATTATGTTTAAGTCCATTGGTTTATTGTGCAACAGTCTCTACCAGGCCTGAAAATAGCCTTATCATATCAGTCACAAAAAATCAGTTGGTAAAAACTCCTAGTGCTGTTTCAAAAGTAAACAAGGCCCTGCATTCCTTAGCAGAGATAAGGAGCCCAAGAACCCATCCTGTTTATATCAGCTCTAGGTGCATGCCCGTAGCCCCTTCACCTTGTCTGACCGTTACCTCTGCCTCATTATGTTAAAATCTCTGCCCAAGGAGGAGCACAACCTTCATTAACAACGTATAATGTAAGGCTTGTTGCCTTAAAACCAATGCACAACCTTATGCCCGCCTTTGTATATGATGACAAAACCCCCCTTTCTGAATATTCATTCTAAACCGAAATAAAAGGAGCCCATTCACCCAGCTCAGGGAGTCATGGATTTGGAAGTTATTCCCCATGATCTCCTTATTTGCTGCAAATAAAGTTTCCTTCCTTTTGAAGTGACAACTCCACCTGGTGCAGCTCCTATCTGTAACTCACCAAGGAGCCAACATGAACCCATGTTAGTTCGGTTACAATAACTCAAACAACTGCACACGTAAATGGTTTTCCTTAAGGCAACCTTTATACTTTGTAGCGAAAGTGCTTTAGGTCCACCTCCTACTATTTTTTCACACAGAATATTAAAAAGATGTGTACTCAAGGTTTGGGATTTATTAAAATTAATTTTTACTGTGTCATCAAGGGCATTCTTACATGAAACCCTCTTTTTAACTCCAAGTTCACGGCCATAAAGAGTACAAGGACTACTACTGTCTTGATTCATAATACAGGCAGTTTTACTCACCATTGTTTGGTACTATTAGTATAAATGTACTGTTATTATGAAAATAGTCTGACCCTGTGGACCATCAGGAATCCACAGACCGCACTTTTTGAGAACCACTGTGCTTTAGAAATGCTTCCCTTGTAACTGACCTAATAGTAATTGTTGCATGAGGTTAAACCGTGACCCTGAACAAGGTCAAATTTATAAGCCTAACATAACAGCAATTGTATTTATACATGGGCCTAATATTAACATAAAAGCATTTCTATTGTAGGTCCTTCCTGATTTTCCACACTTCATTATTTGCTTTGTGAAGTTCAAATGTCTTAACTCAAAGACATCAAGCAGTGCTGAGTTACTTGCACTCCCCTAATTTTCTAATTCTTCCTCATTCTGATTCTCTAATAGGTCTGAGGCTATAGCTTAGCCTCATAGTCAGCTCAGCACGAAACACAGCTATGTTTTTCTCCCTTGCTCTAGAAGAGATCAATCAACAATGTTTTGGTCCTTTCACATTCTTTTTCTATTATCAATGCCACCATCTCAACCCTATTTCACACCCTGCCTAAGGCAAGAGTCTGCTCATCAAGCTCTTAACCTCTTATCTTTCCATGTTCCAATTCAATAACAAAAAATTAAAAAGTAATAATAATAAATTTAAGCATGTTAACAATCTGCTCAAAAAGCTTCAGTGGCTCCATATTATCTATAATGGGATTTATAGGTCAATTAACACAAGTGATAAAATGAATATCCAATCCGCACAATTAATTGGTAAAAAAAAAAAAAGAAAGAAAGAAAGAAAGAAATGTCCCCACCACTCTCGTATGTATCTTCTCTATCCATAATGACCGGGAAGACTATGGAAGCCAGCAGTATCTGGGCTCTACCTGCTTGAAATACCTGTTGCAAGCAGGAGGCTCTCGCCACATGACCATTTCTCCTGGAAGTGCTTCACTTGTGGCTCAAGGGCACTGTCTTTACTATGGATCTGATCACTGCTCTTAAAACTTTCATGTAAATAAAAATCGCCCTTCCTCAAAATAAGTTTAGGAACTCTGGTCTATAAGACAAAGCTCAAAGGCCATACAGTTTTTCAAAGTCCTCCACTTCAGTCCCAACGATCATTATCATCCATCTGCCACTATTCTTTCCAAGAGTAATTCTCCATTTCGAACAGACCCCCAGAACCTTGCTTCTCATAAACAGATGTGAGAAGGGGACATGTGCTGTCCCCATAACCTAGGAATGTGTTCTTCCTCCTTTCCATCTGACCTGTCAAGATCCAGCTTAAGCCCCAGCCTTTCATTACATGCCAACCTGCATAGATCACTAGTTCGCCTCTGAATTCATATAACACTTAACAGCCTTTATCACTCATTTTGGTACTAGATGATGTGTTACATTAAGTTGTAACACAAAAAACCCAAGTAGCAAGTTGAGGGAACAGATTAAAACTGCATAAGCCTTTTCTGGGATGCTTGGGTGGCTCAGTCGGTTAAGCGTCTGCCTTCGACTCAGGTCATAGTTCCAGGGTTCTGGAATTGAGCCCCACATCAGGCTCCTTGCTCAGCGAGAAGCCTGCTTCTCCCTCTCCCTTTGCCTGCTGTTCCCCCTGCTTGTGCTCTCTCTGTAAGGCTTATAGTTCCAGGGTTCTGGAATTGAGCCCCACATCAGGCTCCTTGCTCAGCGAGAAGCCTGCTTCTCCCTCTCCCTTTGCCTGCTGTTCCCCCTGCTTGTGCTCTCTCTGTCTCTCTGTCAAATAAATAAATAAAATCTTAAAACAACAACAACAACAACAACCATATAAGCCCTTTTTTTCCCCAGAAGCTCTCCAAACCCCATCTTGGGTTTTTAAGGAGGCCTCATTACATAGGCATGATCGATTAAATTATTGGCCACTGGCAACTGAACTCAAACCCCAGTCTCTCTCTCTTCCCCAGAAGTCTCAGGAGTGAGACTGAAAGCTCCAACCCTCTAATCACCTGGGTGGTTCTGCTGGCAAGCAGGCCCCCATCTACGGGGTTTCCCAGAAGTCACTTCACTAACACACTCAGGTGTGACTGAAGGGGGCTTGTTAAGAATAACAAAAAGACACCTCTATCACTCTCATCACTCAGGAAATTCCAAGGGTTTTAGTTGCTTTGTACCAGGAATGGGATGAAGACCAAATATATAACCCATATTCTAAGTCACAATATCACAGTGCCTATGTAAAAGATGCAATATTTTTAAAATGGGAGAATGGGAAAAAAAAGGGTATTACCTGGGTACAAAATAGAATCATAAGCATAAAGAGCTTTAGTGAGTAGGCTGGTGTAGCAGAGATGGATAGTTAAACATTAATAATCTGTGCTTCTTCTTCCCAAGTACAGAGCAGTACCTGGGAGACAGCCGCTCAGCCAGGAGCTACAAGCCCACAGTAGATGTGAACAGAAATGATGCATGTGACTTCCAGACCAACATTTTTAGAAGCAGTGTGCCTTCTCTATTCTCTGTCTCAGTCTGCCTCTGGATGCAGAGGACTCAAGGCTCTAGAAGAGGACAGTAGCAACATGACAGAAGATGCCTTCACCCATGAAACAGCCACATGGAGAAAAACCACCTGCTGTTCAGCAACACCTATGTTGGACTATTTACATGGGTGATAAAGGTCTAGTATATTAAGCCACTGAAATTTTAATGTTTGTTATAGCAGCTAGCATTAGTCTATTAATACACGAAGGGTCATCTAATTAGTGACAGGGCTGAGACCAGAATCCATGTTTTTTGACTCTTCTTACAGTGTATCAAACTATATTCTGATATGTATTTATATTTCTAAATGATCTCAGTGGTGTTTAGGCAATTTATCTTGGTTATTCTTAGATAAATACTATTAATCCCCAACCAAGCCTTATCTACACTTACCATTTACAATCATTTTCAAACAAGCAGAACATGGTTTTCTGGAAAAATAAAGATCACAGTTTTTCAGCCTTGACCCATGTTTTATAAGAGCAATTTTTCCAGCATGTAAATCTTCACTAGAACAGTGGAGACCAACAATTTTCGTGTTTTTCACCACCACAAGACCAGTTCTCTTCACCTACATTAAAATACAAAATAATAATGTATTAGTTATAACATCTGTTAAAAAAGAAACAGGCCCCAAATGGAGTCACTTGTGCTAAGTCCACATTATCAGACTGAGACTTAATACCTAATTGCAGTTTTGGCCCCTCCCAGGAATATAACCTTAACCAGTCAGACTGTAATTTCCTGCTGAGCTAGTGAGGAAATCCACCTGATAAACTCCTGTAGTCCCCAAAAGGAAGGTCACCTTGCCTGAAACAATCCACTTTTTGCTAGCAACTTCCTTTTCCTGCCCCTTCTGCCTATAGAAGCCTCCCCTTTTTGCAGCTCTTCAGAGCCCCTCTCTATTTACTAGATGGGAAACTATATGACTCATGAATCATTGAATAAAGCAATTAGATCTTTAAGTTTACTCAGCTGAATTTTGTTGTTTTGTTTTGTTTTTTTAAACAGATTTGGTGGCAGCATTTGGATCCAAAGGAAAACTGATGGCTTCAGGGACAAGAAACACAAGCATGGTACCTGTGAACCCTTTGAGCTCTCTGTCCTTCTTGCCATATCTAAGGGCCATAGATAAGTTCCTCTTGCTTCTGAGCTCTGCTGTCTTTGCACTGAGCTCCTAATCTGATTGGCTTTCCAGTCCAAAATTCCCCATTTGATTGGAACTCCCATTCCCTGATTTAGCCCCCAGATTCCACATTGTGGAATCCCAGGCTATGGTCCCCATTTCTTGAGGTCTGCTGGTTCAGTCCTCTCCCCAGTCCCAGATTCCATGTTGAGAATTGGTAGTGGTGTGCACAGGGCCTTCTCTTGGCCAGGCTAAGGTAACATCTCTTGATTACTGCTGGTGTGTTAAGGTGAACACGTCTCTATTTTGTGTAGGTAAAGGCTATTGCTAATTGGAATCCTGGGAGACCAAAAGCCACAAAATTAGTGGACGCAGGTTGAGCACTTAAAAGCTATTACAGCAATCACCACCTAACTCTAAGACTCCTGTGTTAGGATCAGTTGGTCATAGAATGGGTTAGATTGACACTAGGACACCCACCAACCTCAAGAAAATTTTGATGCAACTAGGTACAGGGTAAAACACTGCACAACTCCCAACCCCAACTCAGCAGCATGTCCCTCTCAGGTATTAGTTTGGCTCTGAGAAACCCACTTGGCTTAAAAAAAAAAAAAAAAAAGAGGGGCATGACTCGGTTAAGTATCCAACTCTTGGTTTCAGCTCAGGTCATGATCTCAGGGTCATGAGATCAAGCCCTGTATCGGGGTCCACGCTGAGTGTATAGTCTGCTTGTCCCTCTCCCTCTGCTCTCTCTCTCTCATAAATAAATAAAATCTTTAAAAAAGAGAGATCTTTAAATTCCAAAACATACCACCTTCTGGCATACTTATGTAAGTCTAAAAATTATAATCCTGGGAGCTATAAATATCTACAAAATGACAAAATCTTACTAAGCCTTTTTGTGTCCTAAGAAGTTGGCTTGGTAACAATCATCAGGTTGGGGGCCCCAAAATATGGCCAGACAGAAATGTGGGTTGTACCTCCTTTACCACTAGCTACGGCTGGATAGAAAATATGGGTTAAACTCCCTTTCTGGCTAGGGCCATACCAAACTGCTATAAGCCCTCAAGTAAATAACAGCCTAGAATGCGATGGACATTAGGAGGTATGGTCCAGTTAGATAAGATCATTCAAAAAGCAAGGGTCCCCAGGGCGCCTGGGTGGCTCAGTTGGTTAAGCGACTGCCTTCAGCTCAGGTCATGATCCTGGAGTCCCGGGGAGTGGGGAGCCTGCTTCTCCCTCTCCCCTATGCCTGCCACTCCCCCTGCTTGTGCTCTCTCACTCTGTCAGATAAATAAATAAAATCTTAAAAAAAAAAAAGGTAAGGGTTCCCAAATCAAACAAACAGAATGGTATATACCTGTTTTAACTGGCATGTAGAAGCCTCCAAAAGGCTTCAAAATTCCAAAATACCTTCATTGAAAGATTTGTTGCAAATCACTCATGAAAAATTAAAGACACAAGAGGCACATAAAACAGGACTATAAGACTGAGGTAACTCCCACCATTATCCTCTAGCCTCCTTTAATTGAGTATTCATTCTAGTAATCCTCTGTCTGAATCTTTCCACTCTGAGGAGACTACAAAACCATAAACAAAAGTCCACCAAGTTAGTGGCCTTATAGACACCCCATATCTAGCCTTGAAGGAGGGCTGACAGGGCTCTGAGGGAGTGTCAGGTAAATTGCTACCTTATTCCCTTAAATGGCCAAGGGAAACTAAAATTAAAATGAATGGAAATCCTTGCCAAATTTTGGTAGATACCAAAGCTATACCCTGTTTTACACCTCACTAGGAGTCTGCAGATGGGATCCTAGGAAAAACTGGCTGAAGCTGGCTAAGGGAGAGAACTCTTATCAGAGTCAGCTCTCTGGTTATCTGTCTACAGTAACTGGTAGAGACAGAGAGAGAGAAAAAATCTTTTGAACCCTCTTTGGGGATGCCTTTGAGTCCAAGGAGTTATTTAATACTGCCAGGAATATATACTGTTTGTCTCAGCTGAGAATTGACACGATATTTAAAAGGATTTTTTTAAGTAGCTTGTCCTGTGGTCAGAAGTTGGCCAGATTAAAAGATGATATTCAAAGCCTGATCGGAGTTTTTCTCAGGCATCCTCCCCTAAGCTAAAATAAAAACTATGAACCTAGATGGAAAGAAAAAAACCTTCTCACACTTTTGTGGAAGGATTTACTAAGACATTATAACGATAAGCAGCTCTTAATCTGGAACACAGAAGTCTTTTGATTTCCATCTTAGTTGGAAATATTTTCCTTGATATAAAAAAGCAAATTGAAGATAATGTAGTTGGATGGGGGGACCAACCTATGATGTCATTTAAGTTACAATCCAATTCCTTGAGAAATTAAAAGCAACTGTTCTTATCTTACAGATCTTTGCAAAACCAGAAATGCCACTCTAGAAACAATTCAAAGTCCACCTATTCTTTTTACCAATCCCCAAACCTCCCATATTTATCTCAAAAGGCTTATAAGTAGTTTTGGAGGAACTTAATGTTCTTTCCCTGTGCCTTTGAGATGTACATGTTTTACCAGGTCTTCCCCAGGAACTCTAATCTAAACCATTCCCAATTCCTAAGACTGAAGAAAAAAAACTGTGTGTGGCAGGGTTCGGTGGGGGGGGTGGGGGCCTTTTTATAAATACAAACTGCTCCAGAAGCTCCCTTGCCCAAAATTTAGTTCACAGCTTTCATAAAATGCTTGTCAAGGACAAATACAAATCTTAAATGTCTTCTCCACAAATATTATAGAAAAAGCCTTAACCATCTGAACAGGTAAATTTAACTTATTCCAACTGTTCTTTCATAAACCAGTGAGTTTTGCATTATCATACCCATCTCATGGCTAAAATTTTATTTTTATTTTTATTAATTGATTTCTTTTCATGGCTAAAATCTTCAAATGAAAGCTCTAAGGTCTCCGTTTGCGTCTCCCTATATGTTTATGTGCATCTACGTAAATGTGTTGTAGATGTGTGGTATTTTCTACCTCTGGATAGTATTGCCAAAATTAATTTGTAAAAAAGCTCCATTTAATTGGCTTAAAGAAAATTAAGCACTTAAATGGATTATTCATAAAATTCTCCAAAATATAATAGAAACTAACCCAAATGCGTTTCAGGTTCACATGATCTGGAAAAATATTCAGTATTAAGGCTAATTTAAGCTTGTTGGTTTAATTAAAATAGACATGCCTTTAGAGTTATCAACACTGAATGTAATGCAGTCATACAATTTTATTCTACCTGGCTTTACTAGTCAAAAAAGTTCATGTTATCTCTCTTACAAAATCTGACAGGTAGAAAAATAACTTGGAATAATGAAATTTCATAAGCAATCTAAATATAATTGTTCAAAATAAGTGAACTAAATAAATGTGAGATAAAAGTTTTTAGGCAAACTTTTTAAATAATTTCCCCAAATCTTATTGGTAACCTGAAACCTTAAAGTTTTGCTAAGTTAAATTAAATGATGGATAGTCACTGAATATCTAGATTATTTCCAATAACATAAAAGACTGAAACAGTAATTACTGAACATAGGTTTATCTACTTTTTGGCTTCCTTTTACAGAGGAACTAAAAATTTTAGGGTTTGTTATTAAACATGTTTTTTTCTACCGTGAAAAATTTACTATGAGAAGGCATATATTTCTAGAAATGAGATTTATAAATTTGCCAAGTCACAGAAAGCTAATGTAAAAGATAATTCACAAATGTTTACTTCTTTACTTTTGTTAGAAATTAAGGTTTTTAAGGGTTAAACATTCTAATATATCTAATTAAAGCTACTAAAAAAAACCCTCCATATGCAAGGAGAGTAGGATGTGTATTTCAGTAAAAGAAGGCATTAGGATTTAGGAACGCATTTTTTTGTTGTTGTTGAGGAAAAAGAAAGTAATTTTGTCCTAAAGTGAGATTGGTTATTTCAGAATGGGAAAGAGGAAAGACATAAGACAAAATCTGAAGGGCTACTAAAAGGGTTGTAGAAGATTTGTGGAAAAGGAGTCTTTGGAAAGGAATATTGTACGTGATCAAGCTGGCTAAGATTAAAATAAATTAAATTAAGGGTTTTTTTAAATGAATGTATTTTAATATCAAAAGTAAGCTGGCACAAAATTAAAATTTAGTTTTCTCTCTGTTAAAAGGATAAAGTTTTCTTGGACTACTGGTCTGTTCTTGATAAGAGACTGTAAAAGGTTTTTCTTTGCCTTTTAAGTAATCTGCTCATAAAACAAAGATTTTGTGTCTTCTCAAAATAATCTTATGTGTTTCATGTTGTCTTCATCAGGTCTTTGATTACTTAAAAAAACGGATTCTTCGCTATTAAAAGAGCTAATTTTTTTTTTTTTTACAACGATTTAACTTTCTGTATTTGCCTTTGAAGTCTTTGTCACTATGGTTAAAGTAGATAACTAAGTATTGTTTCAC